TAGTAATTAATTTATAAATCGTATATATAAATATATAGAATGACAAGTCGCAAGTGTAAAAAATATGTATAAAGATCTTTATATTGTAATAATTGACACACGAATAGTTAAACAAAATTAAATAAGCAATAGTAGGGGAAAGTGGATGAATTGTGCGCACTTAAGGAAAATTTATTGTCCTGGAATGATTTTCTAAATTCAAAGCGATATAAGTATGGAAATAGAAACTATAAACATTTTTCTACCATTACGTATTCTCATATCGAACAGATTTTCATTTAATAAAGTTGTATTTGGAAAAAGGAGGAAACGGAAAAGCGAAAAAATTTCTCGCGCGTCGGGTAATTGTGCGCATAGGTTAGATAATTGTGCGTATTATAATAATAATACACATAGATTTTGGCAAAATAAAATAATAATGCAAAGAAAAAATGAAAAAAATAGAGATATTAATAGATTTTACGCGTTGCTTTCCAATATTTATATAAGATTCCCGCTATGCGCATTAATATTTATAAAATTCGCGCTTCGCGCTAGCTACTAACTATTACACGCATTCTACAATAAGTCATTAATCATAAATCAAAAGTTAGAAGCTGGAAATTGACCAATCACAGTCGTTAATTTTCAACTTCTAACTTCTGATTTATGATTAATTACTTATTGAGAATGACCATTATATATTACGTTTTCAATTATTATGCTGTTCTCTTGACTTAGCTCAATAGTTGAGTAATCGCTCACTGTTACTGATGTAATCTTTTAAAACATCCAATCAGCATTTTAGATCTGGATGAATACATTAATTGCAAACGAGCGCACACTCAACGGTCCGCTGGACGCAGCTATTAAAATTCTTAAGTCAGACCCATTCCGGACAGACTGCCTGGAACCAAGGCTTAGCCCACGCGATGTACATATACTCGCGAAAACGTCGCCCGGACGAAACAGTGTCACATTACAGTTATATTGTTGAGTAAATAAATAACAAGTAACAGATATGTATGTTACATGTTACTTAGTGTTTGCTGGATATATGTATATAAGACGATCACATAAGTACGTACCAAAATCATCACCCAATTTATTTGGATGTTTCTTTAATTCGAGTAAGATATCAATAAAATCATGCCTAGTAACATTATTCATTTCTCTATAATTCATGGTCTCCACGATGACTCGTGTGAAGAATTTGGTAATTTCTGTTTCCGATAAGATATAACCGAGCATTTCGTACAGCTGCGGACAAAATTGTTTCAATCTTAATCGTAACACATTTGTCCATGTCGGATTGAATATTTTCCTTCCCATCTTGCGAAATTCGCTGTTCTCGTTTGACAATGCGTTCATCTCGATACCGAAGGCACAGGTACCGATTACATCAGTCATATATTTGGCCATCAACTCGCGACATTCTACTGGTTCATTCTTGCTCGCTATCTTTTCCATGTACAGGATCAGGTGATCAGCACATTCTGATATTAAAGAAAACATCTCCTTTAGTTTACCGGATGTAAAAACAGGTGATAACCGCATTCTCAACGGTCGCCATCTCTTTGGCTCCAAAGCGAAAAGATGTTGCGACAATGGTTCGACCTGCAATACATAACAGAAACGCGCGTGAAACATAAATGAAATAAATTTAACTCAAAATTAATTTTTATTAATTTTTATTAGTTTCTTTATAGAATTAGCTTAAAAGAATTTGATTAAAACTTTTAAAAATAAATCTCACTATATTTAATAAGACTCGCCACTCACAAAGTATAGAATTAAGTATTCCTATGTAATGCGCTGTGTATTTCATTTACACTTTGTACATTCTTATACTACTTTGTATATTCTTATACTACTTTGTATATTCTTATAATGGCTTTTAGCGTATTCTCACCTTTTTGAGATCGGGATATCCTCTGTCAGCAAAGTCGGAGAAATCTTTGATAAGAATATTCTTTATTAAATCTAGATCTTTTACAATAAGAATGGGTGTCTTCGTCATAAATATTCCAATCAATGGTTCATTTTTGTAAGTATCATATATTTCTTTTACATAATCACCCGTAAATTTTTTATTAAACAAAACATCTTTAAAATTTCCCATTCCCGGTATTGGTCGAGGACCAGAAACGCCACGTGACTTCCAAAAGTCAAAAGTGGATGTAAGGAAATAATAAATAGCAAGAACAACGGCAGTAATGCCGCATAATATTTCAAAGGATTGCATTATCCAACAATCGTTGATCGATTATTATGAATAATTTTTACTGAAAAAAAGAGAAAAGATGTTCTGTTATATAAAACTCCGTCTTAAGGTATATAGAAAGAGATATTTAAATTTGATATAGATGTACAATAAAATATATACGTTTAAGTTAAATTTTTGATGAAATTTTATTGATATTAGAACAATTGAGAAATTACTTTTTCTTCCAATTCGATCACCGGAACACGTAATAATATTAATCGCAATAACTAGTATATATAGCTAGAACGTCTCTTTTAGACGAAGTAAATAAACAATATTTATCCTTCGCGAACCAGGTAGAGTGTGACATGTATCCCAGCAAGAGGAATTTCTATACTTTATAAAAAGTTATCACGCGCATGATTTCGTGCAACTGGAGACCGCGTTGTTATCAGTCATATTAAATTATAGCATATTTATTATGAAGCATGAGGTATGAGATATATACTCATTTATGGTCTATGTTGATTTCCTATCTGGTTCGCGAAAGGTAAAGATAGACCGATGAAATTAAAGTATATGAAAAAAAAACGCAATTTTCAGTCAAGTTCAAGATTTATGATTTACCGAATTAAGATTTCTGCCGCGTCTAGACAGTGAATTTTTGCCGTCTTCCCTTTAAGGGGACTCGTTTGAGGAACAACCACGTCGGTGAAACAAATACTACAAAAAAGGGATCTGCCACTTTCAAAAATCAAATAATCTTGGCGACGCCATCCAAGATCAATCTAATAAGATTAGTAAATAGATCTTTTTGAACCCTGCAACTTTTGTCTGAAGCACTTTTCTGTAAAACTTATATGTTTTAAGATATTCAGGTGTCCCGATCTTTTTGCAACACCCTGTATATGGTTTTCGATTCAATGCGCTTGTTGAAATGAGTAGAAGCTATAATAGGAGCATGCGTTGCGAGCAATCTCTAGTGATCTATGAAAAATTTTCTCAATTTTTCGCGTGACAAAAAATGATTATTTTTTTAAAACTTTTTTTCAAAAATATCGCCCCCCTGAACTTGCCGCTTCTAGGCTATAGTCTAGTGCTAATATGGCACTGATCAACTTATTCATGCCTAATATTTCTTGTGAATTTGTAGCTTAAACTGCAAATTGTATAAATTCACAAGAAATATTATAGGTACGAAGAACCGCTTTGACCGGAAATGGCGTTTTTCACTCATATATGTTTATAATTTTCGTATCTTTCATCCTGGGAAAAAATATTTTATAATTATATTATTGTACATATATAATTATATATATATTTATGTATAATTATATTTAAATTTATATATAAAATTATATATAATTATATATTTTTTTCCGTAACGGTACTAACGTGCATACAACAAAAAGAAATAATCCCGAAATGTTTATCCGAGAAACAGTGCTAGAATTAATATTGACACATATGCGCAATACGTTACATTATCAAATAAGGTAATTAAGAAAATTGAAAGAAAAACAACAATATGTAGACAATTATTTTTCAATACAACACGCTGAGATGCGTAGATATTATTACGTCATGATACGATGCAAATTATCTTGAAAATTAGAAGTAAAATTTAATTTATCGCCTTTTATAAATGAAATTTACCAAAAAAGTACAATTCGATGATTTCTCAGATTTCTCCATCAATGTATTTTCATTATACAAGATGTCAGGAAAATCGACGTTAATACTTCGGGAAGTGATTCGGAAACCAAAAAGGAAAAAAAAAAGCTGTATAAACATACATCCGGAAATAAGTCATTTCTGAGTTATAATCACTTTTATGTTAAAAAATTGAAATTTATTTTCATAATTACAATCATAAGTCAGCAATATTGTTGGGCGCATTTCTGTAAATTATTTACTTTTTGTGATAGATAAAAATCAAGTGGATTCATCTGGTGATCTTGGGGACCAGGTAGTCAGACCTCCACGCCCTATTCATTTCTGACTATAATTTCGATTTAAATCGATTTCTGGCTAATAATATTGCTGATTTAAGACACAGAATATGGATTTGAAGAAGTAGAGATCCAAATATTTTTCGAAGAGTTCGGAATTCCTTTGATAAAAGAATAAGAGCCTAAATTCGTGTTGAAGGTGGTCATTTTAAACGTTTCATTTAATTTCTATTATATTTAACCTGTTTGTATTTATCTAAAAATAACGCAGTAACCGTATTTACAAATACCGGAAAATTAAAAAATAAAAAGTAAAATAATTTAAAAATAAAATAACACATAGTTATCTAGGTTAAAACATTTTCTCTCTGTCTTGTGAAACAAATTATGATTGCAATTATGAAAAATAAATCAATTTCAATTTTTTAACATATAAGTGGTTATAACTCGAAAACGACTTATTTCCGGACCTATATTTATATAACTTTTCTTTCTTCTTTTTGGCTCCGGAATATCTTTTCGAAGTATTGACCTCGATTTTCCGGACACTCTGTATAATCCTTATTTTTATTTATTATCAAAATAAAAATTTTTTGTTTATAATTAGCATCAACAAATTCAAAGCGATCTCTCGCTGTACTGGAGTAGAAAAAACAAGAAAAAGTGTACAATAAAAAAAACGTATATTAAAATACGTTCTTTTATTTTAAAATTTAAAGCTATCCTTGATCTTCAACAATATTCTTTTAGCAGTAAGATGGAAATAGAGTATGAAAATATGAATACAGATATATCAACGTTGCTTTAATTTTAATTACAATTTTCCTGCGCATATAATGCAGGAATAATTGAATGCACGCACATATGCATTGTTAAGATATTAAGAGGCTCGTTGCCAAACACACATCAAAAACACATTGCAATGCACCAACACCAACAATCTACTTATAACACGTGATATGACGCCGACGAAATATTTAAGAGATAAAGTAATTAATACCATTTATCAATATAATTTAATATCACTTTGTAATCACACAATCAAAAGAAAAAAATTACGTTAGAAAATTCATTCTTTTTGCTTTTCCTATCTGCTTCATCTTGGTAGGTAACTTTTTTGTCTGATAATAATAAATCGATGTGTGATGAAGCAATTTATTTCATATTTAGCAAAATAAAATTACAGAATTTACTTTTCTTCTTTCTAAAATTGTCAATTCGATTTTGGTATACAATGGACATACCTAATTGCAGATGACAATAAAATGTAACCGTGCACTGGCGATATTGCCAGTGTATCACTGAATGCCAGCTTGTAAATAAACTACCATCCTATAGCTTGTAACGGTTTACAATTTGAGATAACACTAACTGTTGCTGTCTAGATCATGCGAAATTATATAGAGAGACCAGGAGATGGAAGTACATGAGTCACGATGGATTGTGAAAATAACCGATTTATCTCTTTCAATTTTTGGATAACATGATTCTGCAAATAATAATGATAAAAAATTTGAATCAATTAAACAGTTTATTTATTGTTAAACAATTAATTTATTGTAAAAACATTTAGTGTTGGGGCTAATGAGAGCAAATAGCGTAGTAATTAAAGCGAAAAACAATGGATGATGAAAGATTCAGAAAAATTTTTCCACTTCAAAAAAAATTTTGATTTATTGATTCTCTTATATACTATGCGTTATGCGTTATGTTAAAATCTATGGCCAGTATTCAGAACGTGCTTACAATGGTGTTAGTGAGCTAACGTGCTATACTTTATGCATATTATAGAAATTCAGAAATAAATACGTACTTTTATCGATAAAAGCGTGTTTTGAATAAGTACTTGTGTGTCGCCCTTATTAAAAAAATCATGTCAAAACGTTACATAATGAAATTATGCAATTAAAACATGTAAATTACGTAACGGATTGTTCCAAGCTAGTACGTGAGTTTTTAAATGACGTAATTCGAAAAATCACATGATATTAGAAATAATTTCATCCATGAGATACTATTAAAAATCAACCCTGAACAAATTTTCGGCGGTATAAAAAGGGCTCCGGAGATAATTGAAGAACACTGACATTATCGACAATTGATATAAATTGTCTATTATCACCGACGAGATACTGTAACGTCGTCCGATTTTCCCCTTTATATTCTACCTTATTAATGGTTTTAGAAACGCCGGCTTAAACCCGCGTATTATTTTTAATCTCTATAACTACTTTTATGACTATTTTATTATTGATATTTTATCATTATTATATTATTTTAATACAATATATTAGTTGAGCGACGTGCTTGACTCCTACTATCCTTTCCAGTTCTTTGATTTAGAAGGAGTCTTGGTTAGTTTGATTTGTTACACGGACATATATATTAAATATTATATATATATATAAAAATTATATATATGATATAAAAAAAATTTATATATAATATTATATATATATTATATT